CCCAGCACCCCCACCCTCCTCCCCGGCTCGCCCTCTCCAGCTTCTAAGGGCCCTGACCTTTTTTCCAAACGCGCTTCTTGTCCCCGGGAGTTCTAGTGTTTGCATGCTTGCGCATTTCAAGTAGGAAGTTTGCCTTCGGGTAGTTGACAGAGCAGCAACTTTCAGACGGCTCCTGCGGAAACGCGTGTATTCTCCGCTTTTCCAGCCGCAAGCGGAGGAACTCTCAAAATTAGCTTCAGCCCAAAGGGCTCAGATGGGCAGGGCCAGGTCAGGCGTGCGGTTTCCCCACGCACGTTTGTTTCCTGCCGAGATGCGTTCTAGATCCCCTGGGCTCAGCGAATGGTGTGCTCAGGAAATGCCTTATTGACCCTAGTTTGTATATTTAAGAATCCCTTACATTTTGTTAACAGGGGGAAGGGGGCTGGGTGCAATATTCGAGGGGTAGCGAGTGGTTTGCGAAAGAAATTGCCGTTTGGGCGGGGGAGTCGATGAAGACCCTCTGTCTGTTTCAGGACACCATCCAGCAGTTGGAGAATGAGCTTCGGGGCACCAAGTGGGAGATGGCTCGTCATTTGCGAGAGTACCAGGATCTCCTCAACGTGAAGATGGCCCTGGATATCGAGATCGCCGCGTACAGGTACGGGGCTGCTGCGGACGTGACCGAAATGCCGCACTGCGGAGGCTGTTCCCACAGCGCCTCCTCACTCCCGCGTAGCCAGCAGGTCTCAGAGGCTTCAGTCAGCGCCTGTTTTCCTTTCTCATTAGGAAGAAATTATTCAAAAGAATGGCAAATGTGCTTCTACCGCTTTTTATGCAGCTTTAAAAGAGGAAGCATTAGTTGAAATTGTTATGAATTACGCGAGGGGGTTGGGGAGGAGCTCAGGTAAATTTAAATGCTTAGGCTGAAACTTTTTACTTTCGTGAAAAGTGTTTTCCGAATGTCTGAAGGAAAAACGGAGTTTGAGGATTTAATATTTCATCTGTGGCTTCGGCTTCTCAATTTGACAATGTCAAGGACAAACACCCAGACATTCAATTTCTCTCTTTCTCTGTTACAGCTTACTGTTGCCATCGTCTGGCTGAGAATAGACATAGATTGAGATATTAGAATATATATGTGCATATATAGCTATATAGATAATTTAGATGTATTATGTTTTACCTTAGACTGTATAATATAGATTATATGTCTATATATATAAGTCACGTATGATATGTATCCACATATATTTAGATCTAGAGATATAAATCTCTAGATCTAAATCTTAATGTAAGTAGATTTACATCTATAGATGTCGATATACAGCCAGAGAGAGAGAGGAGATTATAGGTCTACTAACTGATGTCACCTTGCTGTTGACTAAGTTCACAGGACAAAATAATTGACTAAACAGTTTTTTTACCACCCATAAGGTCATTATAATTTTATAAGAATAAAGTGAACTCACAGTTATCTTACTTTTCAGGAAAGCTGAATAATTGAAAAGCCCTTTATGATTAACATTGCAGATCAATTTATAACTTGATACACCCATATTAGCACCTAGCTGTTTATAGGTAGAGATAGAGATAGGTTTGGATATGGGTATATAAAGAGCCTGAGTTCTGATATATGCTCAATACATTTTTTAACATTTTATTTGCTGAAGGAAATTTAGTGTATATACATCCCGAAAGTTCCAATTCTCAGGAAGATCACTCAGGTTTTTTTGGCCACTACAGAGCTTTTCAATATACTCATGTGGCACCAAAGGGACTGACGCAGCAAGGGGGACTTGCTGACTGGCGCAGCGAGGGGGACTTGCTGGCTGGGCCTGATGAATGGGCCATTGGCAGTGGTTAGTTACTGCAGCAGGGGCTTGGCTAAGTGTCCCCAGAGTATCTGTCACGGAATATGACACAATATACCAGTGAAATGATAATAACAGGTGTGACGCAGCCTTGACGGAATCCTTGACAGGATTCTATTCATTCAAAGGTACCTACTGCATCCCCCGTTATGTGATGAAGCCCAGGAGGCCCCATGAGGTTTTAACTCCGTCTTGTCTTCCTTGATGATCTCCTTAGGAAACTCCTGGAAGGCGAAGAGACCAGGTTTAGCACCTTTTCAGGAAGCATCGCAGGGCCGCTGTACACACACCGACAGCCCTCGGTCACCATATCCAGTAAGATTCAGAAAACTAAGGTAGAGGCTCCCAAGCTGAAGGTGCAGCACAAATTCGTGGAGGAGATCATAGAGGAGACCAAAGTGGAAGACGAGAAGTCGGAGATGGAAGAGGCCCTGACGGCCATTGCCGAGGAGCTGGCAGTTTCCAGGCAGGCAGGGAAGGAGGAAGAGCCCCGGGAAGCCGAGGCGGTGGCGGCCACCACGAAGTCTCCAGAGAAGGGCACGGCGCCTGCCCTGGAAGGGGAGGAAGGCGGAGAGCAGGAGGAAGAAGAGGAGGAGGAGGAGGAGGAGGGGGCCAAGTCAGACCAAGCCGAGGAAGGGGGATCTGAGAAGGAAGGTTCCAGCGAGAAAGAGGAGGGTGAGCATGAAGGGGAGACTGAGGAGGAAGGCGAAGGAGAGGAAGCTGAGACTAAGGAAGAGAAGCCAAGCGAGGGGAAGAGGGAGGGCGTGGTGGCCAAGGTGGACACGCCCGAGAAGGCCAAGTCCCCCGTGCCAAAGTCGCCAGTGGAAGAGGGGAGGCCAAAGGCATCCCCAGGAGCTGGGAAAGGCGAGCAGATAGAGGAGGCAGGGCAGGTGCAGGGGGCAAAGAAAGCAGCAGCCACGGAGGCCGCCAAGGAGACGAAGGCCGAGAGCAAGGACGGCACCCTGCAGGCCGCGCCGGAGAAGAAGGCGGCGTCCCCAGGGAAGGAAGAGGCCACGCGGGAGGTGGTGACCATCACCAAGGCCGTCAAGGTGAGCGTGGAGACGGGCGCCAAGGAGGAGAGGCCTCAGCAGCCCCAGAAGGAGAGAGCCGAAGAGGAGGGGGGGAGCGAGGAGGAAGGCGGGGACGCAGGGGCACAGGCGTCCAGGAAGGAAGACATAGCCATCAACGGGGAGGTGGCAGGGGAGGCGCCGGGGCAGGAGCCCCAGGAGAAGGGCAGCCAGGGAGAAGACATGGGCGTTGTCACCAACGGGCTAGACCTGAGCCCAGCAGATGAGAAGAAGGCGGGTGACAAGAGTGAGGGGAAAGTGGTGGTGACCAAAAAGATAGAAAAAATCACCGAAGGGGGAGACGGTGCTACCAAATACATCACTAAATCTGTCACTGTCACTCAAAAGGTCGAAGAGCATGAGGAGACCTTTGAGGAGAAGCTAGTGTCTACTAAAAAGGTAGAGAAGGTCACTTCACACGCCATAGTGAAGGAAATGGCCCAGAACGACTGATAACTTGAGGCCGTTCAAAAGGTTAAGCCATATGACAATTTCAAAATGCATGTGATTGACAGCTTCAGCGTAGAACGGGTTCTCCCATGGGGGCTCCAGACATTGTATTTTACCTTGTGCAATATGAGGGAACTGCATGCAAGCTCAGGTCGCTCCCTCCTCCGTCTTTTGGGGGGTTCAAATGCATGATATTGTATGTACCCGGGGAATCGGCCAATTTCCTAAGCTGCCGGAAGGGGGGCACTCAGAGGGGGGATGTCTTGAGATGTATTATGCAAAGAACCAACTGAGCCAAAAATAAATGAAACACAGAACTCTCCTAGCCTTAAGAAAGCNCACAGGACTCTCTTAGCCTTAAGAAAGCTATATATGAATAATTATGTTTACCTCACTGGTGCATTTAAAATGGACTTTCTTTCATGGGAGAACCTCGTTGACATGCACAGTCTGCAACCTCTCGTTGATTGATGTTAAACGTCACAGCAGTACTTGCTCAATAAAGGTCATACCGGAAACATAGTCGATGGCTTGGTGTTAAAGTCATTTCAAAGGGAAATCTTCACTACCTGACCCTTTCTTTCCTAGGAGTACATTATTTGGGAGATTATAGGCAACCTGTATTTCTTTTCAGTATTTCCCTGAGAGTGAATTCTGGGAAAACATAATCACTGAAAGCATTTTCAGGTGTCAGAATCTTTACTTAGCCTAACCTTCGTCCCAAAATTTCAAAATCATGTTTTTTGGAATAAAAAAACACATCAGATCAAAAGGTAAAGATGGTGGGATAGAAGTCTTCAGTCTCCAGGTGTTTCCATCACAAGCCAAAACACGGAGAACTTCAAGGTAAGAGGGACATATAAAGGAGTCGTTACACAAAGGGCCTTGTGGCATTTATAACAATGTCCAGAAGAAGCAAGATTGAAACCATAATATGAGTACTAACAAAAAATATCCAGGCTCAGATGTTTGGTTCTGATACACACGCACACGCACACCAGCAGCACTGATTCTTTTTTTTATTTTTATTGATTTTAGAGAAAGAGAGGAATGGGGGAGAGAGAGACATGGATTTGCTGTTCCACTTATTTATGCATTCATTGGTTGATTCTTGTATGTGCCCAGACCCAAGACCAAACCCATAGCTTGGTGTATCGGGATGATGCTATAAACAACTGAGCTACCCAACCAGATTCTTGATATGGTTGATGGAGATTTATACTTTAAGTATTTTATCAATTGGGAAAATAATGTCAAAAATAAATAAAATACCTCACTTAGAAAGAAAAAAATAGATTTTCTGATATTAGCACTCTAAGTGCTTTTAAAAAAAAGTTTTTTGAAGCCTGATCTTGACCAAGGAAATAATGCAGATCCCTTTTCAACGTATATCTGTTCTAGACCTTGAAAACTACTAATTTATTAATACATTATTTGTTCCAAGTTCATATTTTTTTCCTTATCAATAGGATTACTCTAGTAATATAATCCTGGATATTCTTCTTAATGGCTTTTTAAAAAGACTTTTGTTTCTAAATATACCCAGGAAGCTCGTTGCTAATGTCAATATTTGTAATATTCTCCCAACCTTCAGCCAGTTGCCCACCCTCATCACTTTTGATATCTGCATATCACTTGTACTTACGTTTTATGTTACAATACTAATTTTTATGAAGCAATAATATCCATGACAACCAAGGTGAAACATGATTTTTAATTATCATCAGCAAAAACTTACTCTAGCTATGTAGAATTAAAAAGTTACAAGGAGAATACGTATTGGAAGAATACAGGATAGCTCTCAGGATGGAGGGGTGACTCAAAGAGGCAGATGTTGGGAAAGACCTACCGGGACAGCCGCAGGCACTGGGGTAGCAAGAAGCAGCGTGCGGTCGAGGGGCTCACTGAGCTCAACACTTTGAATCACTTCCTTGGAAGTTCTGAAGCAGAGCATACACTTGCCCGACACCTGGGCCAGCAAAGGAAGAAGCCCTCTGACTGCCAGTCCCGCTCAGACTAACACCAAGGATGCAGCAGTATTTCCCCACAGAAAAAACTGGGAACTGTTATCTGAAGTGGAAGCAGGAGCTGGATCTATATGATAAGTTAGTTGAATTTTTAAATACCTACTAATAATATATAGCCATTACTATAAAAATACTCATCTACTACTAAAATCATCTCATTTACCAGTGCCAGCTGCTGAGTTTTCAGAGTTTAGAAACCCCTTCGAGTAGTATATATTATTTAAAAATGACAGGATCAATCAGCAGCAGCCCCCCCCCCCAAGGTCAGCACTAGAGACTTGTTCCTTTAGCTCCTAACTCTGTTTTCAACCATCTCACCTTTTTCCATGAAAGAAAGAATCTAATAATACTTCTACTGTTTTTACTTCTTGCAATATAATAGAACAACCTATCTTTGATAGGCTATGCAGGCATTTATAAATGCATCAAATCACTTGGTTGATTCATTAACTTAAATATTTATTGTAGACTTGGGCCTGGGAATACAATGATCTTTTCTTCTGGAATTCATTAATTGTGTTGTCAATGCAAACTGTTATAATACTGTGTAAAGATGGAGCAATTTGAAATTCATATTTCCAAATATATTCAGTGACAGAGAGAAACTATATTTAAAGCTAAGCACAAACCTGCAAGTGTTTAGGAAACTAGAACACCTTTTCTCTGACTACCATCAGCCCCTGGCTATGATGACATTAAGCCTTTGAAAAATACAATCTACATTTCCAGTAGATTGCCTTAGAGATGTTATTTCATTTTAAATATTGTAAGAAGTACCAAAGCTAATTAGTTCTCAGTTTTTAAACATAAGAAAATTGAAGCACAGAACATTTAAAAGAAAATAAAATAAAGTAAAATAAAATAAAATTAAAATAAAATAAAATAAAATAAAATAAAATAAAATAAAAAACTTTCTCTGGGTCACACAACTAGTAGATAATACAGTCGGGATTTAACCCAGACTTCCCAGCTCTAAAGCATGTACTTTTAACCCCATATAACTACACTGCCCCTCAAACCCATGCACTGTGGCCCTCTCATTTTATAAGGAGGGTCTGCTGTGTTCCCTTCCTCCTCTCCAGGCTGCGAGAAGTAAAACAGAGTTATGCCACGAGTCTCTCATTTAATATGCTTACAACTCTCTTCACATGTTAAAAATTATGCAATGGCACTGTCTGAACCATAGAAAGAATAAAATACCCAGACACAAAATAAGTGATTTCTTCTACTACAATAGCTTGCGATGTACAGAAATGCAGCAAACGCTTTTCTCATGGTAACTTTAATAATCAATGGGAAAGAAAAGTTATTTTGGGCACACTGCCTTCTATTGCCAATCAGTGTAGTAAAACATTGGGATATTCGTTTCCACAACAAATAGGTTGGTTGTTCCAGTTTGGCTCAAGTTATTTTTTCCTGGTGGTTTATGTAACTTGCTTGAAGGGAAACAGAAACTATTTCAAGTGAATTATTTTGATTAAATCTATACAAGATTTGCCCACTTCCAGGGCTCCTCGGAAGTGTAGAGCTTTGGCAAAAGCACTGGATTTGAGTCCAAGTTCCAAGTCTCAGGTCTATAGACAGTAAAAGTGTGTGTCTTAGGTCCATTATATTATTCCTCAAAGCTCCTGCTATAGACTGAATGTTTGTCTTCCTCAGATTCATATATTAAATCTTAATGCCAAATGTGATGGTATTTGGACTTTGGGTCTTTAAGAGGTGCTTAGGTTTTGAGGGTGGGGCCCTCATGAATGAGGTTACTGCCCTCAAAAAGGAGACCCCAGAGAGCTCCCTTGCCCTTTCCACCAGGTAAAGACACTGAGAAGATAGCCACCTATGAACCAGAAAGTGGGCTCTCACCAGACACTGAATTGTGGTACCTTGATCTTGGACTTCCACCCTTCAGAACTGTGATAAATAAATGTGTGTTGTTAATAAGCCACCCAGTCTATGGTATTTTGTTACAGCAGCCCAAACTCTCTAAGAAAGCTTCCACTTTCTTATCTGTAAAATAGGAGTGTTAACACACTCTTCAAAGGGCAATTAGACACGTTTGGGCAGTTCTAATAAAGCATGCCTTGAACATAACACGTTAGATGTTTGGAGAAATTTGGATATGTCTCTTCCACATCCCACACACTGTAATCTGTTACTATCATAGCTTGAGGTGCAGTTTCCTTCGCTGGGCGTTATTGTCCAGCTTAATGGCCATGCGCCTGTGAACGCAGTTACCCATGTCTACCCATTGAGTTCGCTCCTGTGGCATTTAGAATGAGCATTATAAATGGAATCAAATCATGTGTCATGACACTTGGAGAGCAGATATCCAGCTCCACTCTTCATCAGCTGCCCATGAAATAGCCACCAATGTTTATAAAGTTTATCACTTTCTTACTGACAATTAGAAGACTGCTTCGCCCTAGATTCTTAGTGAGAAATTGCTTTTCATTCTCAGGAAGACACATGGATCTCAATACCCTCATTAAGGGATGCAAAAAATAAGGCCGAGAAAGAAGCGAAAGAGATCTTCCGAAGTACCTACCTCCTCCTTGAACTGGTGGACAGAAGGGAACTCTTACTGGAGAGAGAAGAAAAACTTGTCAAAGAACAGGAATAGTTAATAATGCTAAAGATTTGTGCCTCACCCACATTGAAATTCTCTGAAAACTTGAAATTTCTTTCCATTTCCATCCTTTTGCATGGCACTGGTCAGGCAGAGCCTTGGTTTCATATTATCTACTTGGTTCTTCTACCAGCTCTTCGCAGACAACCACAACAACCTAGGAAGCACAATGTATCTTTTAAGAATGCACATTTTGGTGTGTGATCAGTCTCTGTTTTTAATCTTAGTTCCAAACTTTTTAGCTGAGTTACTAAGTCCGGAGCCAGTCAGGAGAAAGAAAACATAAAAACATTCTAGGGTTTTCAAACAGAATGGAATTTAATGGAGGGAAATGTCATGACAAAGTTAAGGAAAATTGCGAAGCCAAAAGGAAATGCCCAAGAGGCAAATGAGGCATGGCTGAGTGTTTATGCCCCAAAAGCCAGAAAGCCAGGAGATATGTTGAGGAAGAGCCATATCAAAGATAGCTAGCTGGTCACATCCGTCTCTATGGCAATGACAATAATTAAAACACCTAAAATTTGTATATTTCTTTACAGTTTAGAAAGTAGCTTCAGATACATCATCCTGCTTAAGCGTCACAATATGTAGAAGAGATATTGTGATTTCAATTTGCAGAAATGGAAGTTCAGAGAAACAGTTTATCTACATGAGAGGAAAGTCATGCGTTACTGAAACTTTT